CATTCCTTCTTTCTGTCTCTGCATCTCCCACCTCTGTCTCTGTGCTATTTCCACTCTGTCTCTACATCATTCACCCTCTCCTTGTCTTTACCTCATCCCTTCCTCTTTTTCTCTGTCTCTCTGTTTCTGTCTCTCCTCACCCCTAAACAGAGAGAGAGAGAGAGAGAGAGAGAGAGACACTATGTGACACACAGAAGTTAAAGACTAAGAGAACTTTCTCATGCTGAATGAGGGTCAAGGAGAAGGATCTAAAGAGACCTTTCCCGAGACAACTTAGTATACCTCATCCTGTGGAGGAGGATATCCTAAAGAGAAGTCTTGATAGACTTTGGCTGCCAGCTTACGAGAACTGAACTGTTGGACTGAGGAGTGAGCTGCAGCAATTAGAGGATCAGTCTGTCTGTGAGCCTTCTCACAACCACTAGGTCCTTGAAATGTTAAATGTCTTTGTATTGTTTGTTACACGGTTAGTAAACTGGGTCACCAGTCACACTATTTAAGCTAAAGGTTCGGTAATCTTTCTCCTATAGAAATAAAAAGTTTTCTCCAACTTATTTAATAAACTGAGGTGCAGGGTAGAGACTCAGTGTTGCTTGATGAAATAATAATGTACATTCCTATTTATAAGGAAGTATATGTTTTGATTGTTTTAGAGACTGAGATGAGAATTATTGTCAAGTAGAAGGCTGAGGGTTGAGAATTGGTGTTGTCACCTGATCTAACATACCATGCAGTCCCTCTGACCCTGCCCAAGCTAAATGTAAGGCATATCCATCCCCAAATCCTGCAACATATAGCATCAACAGTGTGCTGGAACCAGCTAGTACCAACTGGAGAGACTTAAATTTTCAGCATAAGCATTTACAGCTCAGAAATTGGCAAACACTACATACCAGGGTTTGACTTATTGTTTTATTGATGGTCTAGAAGACTTAGGAAAGGGATGTAGAATCTTAACAAGGTATATTATTGTAGATCTTAATAATCTTATTATTAATGTAGATCTTAATAATTACTAGTGATGTAGATCTTAATAATGCAGATTAAAATTAAAAGTGTTTCAACCTCCACAGACACTAGGTGTGTGTCCCTGGGCAAGTCACTTAACCCCGATTGAATCCAAAAAGTAAAACAAAACAACAACAACATAAAAAACAGAACAAAAATGTTTCATGCATACATGTTTTTCCTCCTAGGGAACCAGTTATTAAACATTTACAGCACACGCCTGGATAAACTATGTAGAACTAGAATGGTCATTAGAAGCCATGTAGATGAGGGGTTCTTAACATATGTGGTATATGTGGGTTTGTACTTATTCTTATTCTTCCCTTTTGGGAATGAAAATCAGTATGTCCCATCTTTGTCATCTCATGATTGTCATGAACATTGCTCTGGAAGAGATCGGGAAGTTCAATTAACTTTCTTCCCCAGTTGGCAATTCCAGGAACTTTTTCATGGGTAGCTAGTATAGAGTTTGATGAATGTATCTCATTCAATGAAATAGACATGAGGACAGAGTCAAGGAGACACAGAGATACACAATAAAAGGGACAGAAACATAACACACAGACTAGTGAACTTTGGGGGAATTTCTAGCTACACATAACCATGTCAATCCATTTAAAATGGTGCCTTTAAATTGAAGGTATAATTCTTATTAACTACCTCAAAGATGTAGATATAGATAGAAATGGAGAGTGATTATGAGAATTTTTGCAAATAAAATGGAATTTGAGTAACTTCCCAGGTACCAATTGCTGTTCTCAGAGAACCTAGCCCTTCCAAGGTGATGGTTTGGACCCCTGACATAGGACCAGAAAGGATTGTATTTGCGTATTCATTTTCCCTAGGAAAAGGAAAAAAAGAAACAAAAGTAGGAGCAAATAGAATTCTTTTGTGCATTTTTCCATTAGCTTTTGTCTACTTAGGTTACATGTAATCACCTTTCTCACGCTCTGTAACCCAATCTTCAACCTCACCTGAGAATTGGAGGCAAAATTAAATCTTCGTTCCAAGCTCTATGCTAGATTTAGAGGATTTGCAATGCGGCCCTCTTTTTAATGATAAGAGTTTTGAATCAAGTGCTACTATACTATTACTGTTGTTCAGTTGTTCACTCATGACTCTTTGTGAACCTGTGGACCATTATAACTATCCATGAGCCTTTCTTGAAAAAAAAAAAACCAATGCCCATAGAGGTTAAATGTTTTTTTTTTCCCCCAAGGCCTAACGAGTAATAACTATCAAAAGTATTTAAGTCCATTCTCTCTAGAATGACTATTCTTTTGTCCTTACCACACTTGAACCCAGTTGTTCCTGGCCCCACAGTTGGCTCTCTCCTATACTCAGTGATGCTTCTGTAACGTCTAATTTTATAGCAAGATCTGAGTATTGACAATATATTATTATGCTCCTTTTCAAAATGACTAGAATATATTGGGGGTGCCAATGAAAACAATATTAGGATTTTCTGAATGGTATGCCTTGAATTCCTACTTCTGTTAAGCTGTCTAAAGGGCCAGACACAGTTTCTCAACTAAGTGACCTCTTCCCAAATTTGTTATATGTCTATATGTAGGAAGATATTGATAAGGATTGGACTTGTTATCTAATTGGTATAGGGAATACCCAGGTGAGGAAACAGTAAACTGACGACTTCTCTGAAATTATAATCTCAAGAAAGTTGCCTAGACAGTTGAAGACGCACTGAAGGGGTTGCTAGTGTAAAAGGCTTAAAAATCTCTGGCCTAGGACACTGAGATCTCAAGTGACTTTTCTTTGTCATTTAACCAGTGCTTGTGATGTTCATATGGCAGGATTTCAAAGTCCCTCATTATCCTGCTTGCCCTTTTCTTGATATTCTCCAATTTGTCAAGGTACTTCCTAAAATGTGACTGGTTGTGCAGTTGTGTCCAAGTCTTCATGACTCCATTTGGGGTTTGTTTTCCTGGCAATGCTTCTAGAGCAGATTATCATTTCCTTCTCCAGCTCATTTTACAAATGAGGAACAGAGGCAAACGGGTTAAGTGAATTGCCCAGGGTCACACAGCTAGTGTCTGAGGCTAGATTTGAACTCAGGAAGATGAGTCTTCCTGACTCCAAGTTCAGCACTCTATTCACCATGACACCTAGCTGCCCCTGTGACACCAAGAACTCCAAATAATGCTATAGATGTTGTCTGGTCAGGGAAGAGTACTACAGGACTAATCACCTCCCTCTTGCTTCTCTTAATGCACCATAGGTTTGTATCCATTTTCTTGGCTGCCATATCCCATTACTGATGTGTGTTGTGGTATAGTCAACTAAAACATACGGATCTTTTTCTGAGTAACTATTGTCTAGCCATGCCTTTTATTTGTGAATATTTTTGAAACCAAGTGTATGATGACATTTGTTCCTATTAGATTTTCTCTTATGTAATTCAGTAGAATATTCTAGACTTTTATCATTTTGTTGGACTCAAACTTTTTCATCCATCATCAGCTTTGTGTCATTTATAAACTTGATATGGATGGATGGTATGTGTGTCATCTATTCAAGTTACTGATTAAATTGTTAAAGAACAGAAATGAAACACAGATTTCTGGGGCATTCTACAGGAGACCCCCTTCAATGTGACCTTTTAATCTGGGCATTCAACCAATTCCAAATCCATCTCACTGTCCTGTTTGTCTGACCTGTTTAATTTCCAAAAGAATAGCATGAAACACTTGGTTAAAAGCCTTTCTGAAATATAGGGATATTGCATCTATTTCTTCTATCAATCTAGTAACTATCAAAAAAGGAAATGTCTGGCAGGACTTGTTCTTAATGGAATTGTGTTAGCTCTTTGGGGATCATCAGTTGTTTTTTTCTCTTTTCCTAAATGTTCATAAGCTCTCCCTTTAATGACTCATGATCAAATTATGTTGGGAATCAAGTTCAAGCTCATTGACCTGTAATTTGCAGATATGTTTTCCCTTTTCATATATCCAGCTGATATTCATCTATCACCAATCTTGTGATACTTTTCCTATTTGCCATTGTCATTCAAAGATTGTTGAGCATAGCTCAACAATCACCTTTGCTAGTCTTTCCATACCTGCAGATATATCTGGGCTTAGAGAATTGAACAAATCAAGGGATTTTAGAGGCTCTTGGCTCTATCTTGGCTAATAACTCCCTATTAACCATTTTAATTTTACTTTATGTCATATACTGTGTGAGGGACTCAGTATACAAAAACAGAAATGAAATAATTCCTTCTTTTAATGAGTTTGTATTTTATTGTGGGAGACAACATGTATAGATAAAGACATATGCAAAATAATTTCAAGGTAAATCTTCTTTATAGTTCTAATTAATAGGGGTTTTAATTTTTTTCTTATACTGAAAAAAAAATTCTGCTTCCCTATAGTTTCTGCCCTCTAAGTGTAGCTCTTCATTCTTGGGGATACATTTAAACCCTACTTAACAGAATGACTCAAGTGAAGATATTCAATTCAGTCTTAAAAGAATACTCAAACTTTTTATTAATCACTACCTATATGTGAGTCATTATAGTTTCCCAAAGATTACCTCAAAATAGAACATGTAGAGGCCTCTGGAGTCTAGGAAACAGGTACTCTCAAAAGAAATGTTCAGTGTAGAATCTTACAGGTCCTTAGAGATCATTTGATCCAGTCCTCTTATTTAACAAATAAAGAATCAGAGACCCAGATATCCTAACTACTATCTCTGGGCTCTTTCCACCACACAGTGGTGTTTCCTATACCCAAGTCTCCTGCAAATACTTATTTTCTTTGAAATTTAAAAAGTTTTGTTGTTGTTTTTAAATCAAAGGACTTGGTTTGATACCCCATGTTATAACCTAAGGATTTCATAAAATAATTGTGAATGCCTGATTGAGCCAGTCATCCATGAACTAGTGAACATAATTGAAGCAATTCATAGTTAGTGTTTAATTCCAAAAAGGCACTTATCTGCAGTCGAAGAAAGCAAACTTCCATTTCTCAGAGTTGTGTTTACTTTTTATTAGCAATGATGAACATACAATATGCAGTATTGAAGGTAAAACTTGATATTATCCACACCATAGACATTGCTAACAGCCTTAAACATTTCTTTTTTGTAGTTTTAATCAACCTTCACAACTTTATAGGTTATCATTGCTTATGGTCTAAGATAAGTACAAACATCTCTGCCTGCTTTAGTGAATTTCATTGAAAATACCAGGAAGCCTGTGTTGCATGTGAAGCAGTTTTTTTTCTTTTAACTTTAACCTTGAGTGATTCTCATAAATGAAATAATATATTAAATGAAACAATAGAATATATGATAAGAAATTTTCATTATGAAAATAATTGCATAATTGATCTTAAAGATCATTACATGAAATGTTAGAATTAGAGCATTTTGTTTAAAATAGCTTAATATCTTTTTTGAGAGAGTAGAGAACACTAATGTTATTTCCTCAGCCAGACTGGGGATCCTCTGTCAAAAAGACAGGCCATGAAATGTCCTTCTAGGAGATTTGTATGCCCTCATCCACACATAATATTCTTTGCTTGCCAATTTTTGTTTGAGACCTGTTGACAATACTCACTTTTGACTTCCCCAAGGTAAACAGATACAAGGAAAAACTGCCTCATTGCCATGAGTAATACAGTTTGTTTTCTTAATCTGAATTTTTTTTTTTGCTTTTTAACAATTGTGATTTTTTTTTGAAAGGAGAGATATATGTTTGAAAATTTTAATTTTAATTTTAACTTTAATTAAAGTCATTATAAAACATAGATTTCATTTCCATCTGTTTTAAAGTTAATAACCATTCTGCCAAATGATCTCTGACATATTTATCTGGGTTGATGATACTGGCATGTGAAACACATTCCCATTTAAGAGAGACAACCTAATATTTTGCTTTACATCTTTATAAGGTATTTATTTAGATGTTTAGATTTTTTAAAATCACTTAGGGCTAAATTAAGTCTTTGCCCACTGGTTCTGGGGTAAATAGAGCAAATCCTATCATAACCATCTCCAAGAAATTTTCTACCTTTATATTTTATGTATATGTTACAGTGAATATTATTTGAAGAAGGTGGGCCATTGCTGGAATATCTGAAATCTTTATGCTCTCTGAAGATGTTCTGGTACTATTCATCATCGTAAAGCTACCTTACATAGATTAGTATTTGTTGGGGAGGCTGGAGGTATAAAAAGGTATAAAAAAATGAACAGAACAATCCTTGTGCTAATATTGTGAAGCCATTCTGACAACATGAACAGGATGTGTCTGTGTCCTCACAAAACCAAAGATGCCAACGAAAACTGAAAATTAATGTGATATGTATTGTTCCAAAGAACTACTATATGTATGTATGCATGTACATATACATATTCACATGCATATGTATATACATACATATAATCATATATGTCAACTGAATTAATTTAATTGTCTGTTTTAGTTTCTTGGTGACACATTCTCAATCAACATTGAAATTTTAAAGAGAATAATAAAAGAGGAGGGCTTTGTGAAATGTTATTACCCTTCCCCTTATGTCTGATAGGGGCATAAGAATATTCTGTGGTAGTTCCCTGGTATTTCTATCAGCCTTAAACTCTTCTCAAATTTTTCCCAGAACCTGACCTATTATAACTTCCTACTATGGGTGTTTGGAATCCCTAACAGACACCTAATACTGTCTCAAGCTGCTTTTATCACCTGCACTGGAAATACCCTCCCCTTGCTGCTTATTCCAACATTTAACCTACAAGAGAGATGACAGTTGCATCTGTTAAATCCATACTATATAGAGTCTGATATTTTCCCTACAAATCAGAATTGGTTGCCCTTCTATAGCAGTGTGTTGCTGTAGAATGTGCTATAGAAATCTGAAGACAGTCTCAGAGAAAGAGCTCCAAAAATGTTTTCAGCAATGGTAACATAGTTGTAATATGTAATATATCATAGATATGTATGCATGTATATGTATACATATTTTCATGTATATATGCATATATGTGTATACAAACACATATATATGTAGATATATACATATATGTGTGATTCTAATTAAGTATAGATTTGGCAAAGAATGTGCCTTGTTGATAGACTATTCCCTATGTTGGAAAAAAACTATTTTACTTCAATGATTTTTGCTGTTGACTGAGTCCTCTTCAGCTGTTTGTCAGAGGTCGCTCCATGTCCTTTCAAGTCATTATAAAAAGAGGCTCAGCACTTCTCTTTATTAGGATGACAGTTCACATTAATTATAATCATTGGCCATTGACCAAATGCGACAATCCTTAATAAAATCTGACTTATCTCTTCCTCCTTATGTAGTGTCATAGACATAACCTAATCATTGTATGCTGAGACATCTTATCACGACTGGGAAATCAGGGACTGCAGATCAGCAACTTTACTAATATAGGGGGAAAAGAAAAGGTATAAATGAAATGTTCACATTTTCTGGACTGTTCATAATTGCTTTTTTTTCCTCTGGCCAGTCAGAAGCATCTTAGAAATTCATTGATATTCAACTCTTCTTGGAAGTTTAGGGCTTTAAAAAACTCTAACAATATTCAGGATTACTTTCCAAAGTATAAGTGATTCATTTATCTATTTGGCCAAAAGAAAATGACTGATAGTCTTTAAAGAATTTTTCCACTTAAAAATCAATAAGTTGAGTAGAGAGACTCCTAAAGTGTAGTCCGTGTATGTGGTGTAGGATATCTAAATCTATTAGGCAAGCCGGGGAGTAGGGATAGTACAATGATATTCAAGATAAACTTGAGGCATAATGGAATGTGAGTCAGCCACAACCACAATAATCATCTATAAGATCTGTCAGTTGCTAAATTAAGTGGATAAAAGTCCACTAAATTCCACCGTGTAACAGTGTCATCCTCCAACCCAGGTTTCTTCTTCCTTATGACTTAAAAAAAAAAATAAAGCAGCCAGTGTTGATTGCTGGTAGACATGGGAGAATAATTTGGAAATATATGCATGCCGTATTATATTTTGTATTCTGTTAACATAGTGGGGTTTAAATTTTCTCTATTTTAAGTAGTTAATATGAAATGTTCCATTGTTTTACAAATTCTATACTACAAATTTACCAGGACTTTCTTTCAGAAAAAGAAGAATCTTAAAATATGAAAAAGTACAACATAGCAACGTATCCTTTTTCTTTTAAAATGGTTTCATGCTGTTTATATTTGCAGGAGGGATGTGCTATTTTTTCACATAGGCTATTCCCCAAACAAAGGAAAGATTTTTTTCTTTAAAAATAACCTTCATATTTTAAAGCAATGTGATAATCAGATACCTTCTGAACATTCAAATCTGGTATCTAAGACATTAATAAGATATATACCACCATACATATAATTTCTACATTCAACAGATCTCACTCCAGGCTTATGAAGGGAGGGAGGGGGAATGAAGATTGCAATAAACACATGAATCAAGCCAGAATTTTTCTGTTACCAAAGACTGAGAATGAATGCTGCCACACTAATCAGGGTAAATGTCATATGAGCAGTCACTGCCGAGCTTCTTGCTCCACTTGTGTCCAAAGTGCTTCCACCATCTGTTTGATGGATTTGCTTGACGTCACTGAGGTTCATCTCATCTGGCATCCCTGTGGAGGCAAAAAAACCCCAAAACATGCAAAGTTATAGATGTCCTCTTCATTATCAACCACATGATGCATCCCCAAACAACTCCCAGGATGCATAGTACAGAGTCCTTTTGGGTTTGGCAACTTATTCTAAGTGTTATCATCCAACTTCAACTTCTCAGTTAATGGGACATAAGAAGGCTTGAATTAGAGAGGATAGTCTCTTAAGAGGTAGTTCAAAGAAACATTTTAAGAGTAAACTTTACATTCAGCCTGTTTGGACTGCTGCTTTAGTAAAATGGAAAGTAATTGAAAGGAAAAATAATTTCCATAAATGTCCAGGGCTAAAGATCCTATGTATAAGGAAAATGGCTGAAACAGATGGGTATATCAATAGCACTTGCTAAACCGAAAAGCAAAAAGGCAAAATATGTTGAAATACAACTACTACCCCAAAGGATGGAAAAAAAAACCCAGAAAATTCTTATTTTATATTTAATGGATAAGAAATTAATTTGGAAAAAAATAGGTTCCTTATTGGCAAATACTCAGATAATTTTCATTCATTTGACTTCTAACATACGTGCAAACACACAACACTTGGTATCATAAACTATAGGTTTCACTGAATTATTATTTACTATGTGTCTAAATTTGATCCCTTAGTGTGAAGATCCTTCATAAGCGTATCCCATGGCATGGTATTATCAATCAAAATTAACAAGTTTAAATTCAGTGTTACTACAGGCAACAAATATTGACATTGTAATTACAGCGGGGATAAAAAAATGGTTCATATAAGGGAAAGTCAATATTTATGTAATTATATCAATACATATATATAATTCATAAGGTAAGCTCTATTGCATCCAGGAATGCAAGCATTATAAAGAAGTTCAGTTCTACTAATCTGACATATTGATTTTACAGTGTGAGTTCCTCCATTATTATTCATTGTTTGGGTACTTGTTTCACCCTTCTGTGTCATTAGGTAAAATGAATAAACTAATGATTCATTGGGTTATAGGAACTACAGTGGCATATAAATATTTTAGCCATGGTTTTATACCTTGTTAGGCTAGAGATTTAACAAGGAGCTATGGGGACTCTAGGAAATTTCTCTATTTTTCAAGGTAACTACTAGGCTTTCTGCTCTTAAAAATTCTCTTTTTTCCTCCTAAGCAGTGGGAGATGGACTCTGAAATGGATGCCTATATAGCTCATTCTTTTACCTTTCTGATCTATTTAAGATGAGAAAAAAAAATCAAATGCGTTGCCTAGAAAATCTGTTAGACACAGCCTCCCCCCCCCTTCCCTCTTTCATGACATTATTGAGATGGCACAACAGGTGACTGGGTTTTCAGATTTATTAAGGAACTTGTAATTGCTCCGGATTTACCAAAATTACCTGCCTAAGTAAAATGCAGCTAGAAAATAAATGAGGCACATTCGAAATGGTCTGATGAATCTTAGTGACTAGTAAGTCCCTGTGGCCTTGTGGGTATTCTGCAATTCAGCATAGGTTAAGGTAATTTTATATATAGATTTTTTGTCTTCTCTTCAATATTCTTATTAATAAAAAAAAACTGAGCTTTGAAAGAGTTTGTAGGAAACCCTTAAAAAAAAAAGAAATGCAGAATGCCCCTGAGGGTATTCTGACACATCATTATCACATAGCTCAGTTTCTTGGTCAGTTAAATGAGAATAATAATAGCACCTAACCTCCCAGGGTTGTTGTGAGAATCAAATGAAATAATAATTGCAAAGCACTTAGCACCGTGTCTGGCCCTTAGCAAGCCCCATACAAATGTTAGTTGTTACTATTTATTATTATGTACTAGATAGAGAGTCTGTCTTGGAGTCTGGAAGACCCTGTGATACTGGGAAGTCACTTAATCTCTCAGTGCTCCTTTCCCCCATCCCCTCCCCTCATTAACTCTGAAAGACTGTTCGCTAATGTGCATTGAAGGAGGAAGTTTCCTCACAGTGAACCTCCTCTCCTTTGCCCCTTATAATGACATAACAAGTCTAGCAAAACAACATCAACAAGACCACTAGACATTTAGAGGTGACTATCACTATGAGTTTGTCTAGTTAGAAGTAGCCAGATTATTGAAAACTGTCTGTATAAAACCCAGCTCCATGATTTATATGATCAGAGAGGCAAAATAAGAGTCATCACCTTAACTCTCAGAGCCATTAATGGCAGATCAAATAGGCTAATTTGGCAGCTGTAATTTATTAGTTATAAATTTTCTGTTCTTTTTGCCACAGATAAATCGCAGAATCTCAGAGTTGAAAAGTACCTCAGAGGTCACATGATCACTTGGGTAGAAATCTCCTTTACTATGTATCTAAGAATTAGTCATCTAGCTTTTGCTCAAATACTCCCACTATGAAGAAGTCATTATCTTATATGGCAGGCCCTTTGAATTTTAGACAACAATCACCCTGAGGTTTTTCTTACATAAAGCAGAAGTCTGTACTTCCTTGTACTTCCAGAACTTCTGCCTTTTGAGGCCAAAAAGAACAAATTGAATCCATTGAATCCATTTCTGATACAAATACCTGATGACAGCTATCATGTTTCCAAATTTTCTCCAGGCTAATTCCACTAATAGGAAATCATTCATCATAGTTTCCAGGTGTTTGGTTTTTTTTTAAAACATCACAGTGCAAGTCATCTCCCTCTTGATCCACTCCAATCTAACAACATCTTTCCTAAAAATTGAGGTGGCCAGAACTGAACTTTATGCCTCAGATGTGGTCTAACCAAGGGAGTGCATAAAGCAGAATACTTACTTACCTTTTTTTATGTATACGCTATTAATCTAGAAGTGTAGTTTAATGTTAAATTAACTCTTTCGGCTGCCATGTTATACTATTGACCCATATTCAGTGAACTTCATGTTTTAAAAATTAAATATTACTTGGTAAATTGTTTCTCCACTCTGTACTCTTACAGTTCATTTTTTGAAACCAAATATAGGAATGGAGAATTTTCTGAATTAAGTTTTTTTTCTTAGATTCAACACTATTTTTTTTTATTTTTGGAGTGTTATTGTTATTGTTGTTATTTTTTGCCACACTAATTTCACTTTAAAATCACCAATGCTACCACTACCACCAGACTCTCCCTTATAACAAAGGAAAATAATTTTAAACCAATAGATTGAGTGCCCATGTGTGATAACATATACTATACTGAATATTCATAGTCCTTTATATCTCTACATAGAGAAGGGAAGTATGATTCCTTATTTGTACATTGTTTTAGATTGTCAAGGATCTTTTTGCATTCTGATTATGTCATCTGATGTTTTCATTATCCTCCCTAAATTAATTTCATCTGCAAATTTTACAAACATGCCATCTATCCCTTCAAGTCACTGATAAAAATATTGACCAGGCAAGGAGAGATCCAGGATGCACAAGAGACATTCTTTCTACAAGGAATGTCTTATCCTCCATAGGAGAAATCCTTAAGTTTAACTAATTGATTAATCACTAATTTTGGGTTCTGGTCATTAAATCTGTTCTGAATCAATATACTTGTCCTATCATATAAGTCACTTCTCTCTATCTTTTCTACAAGTTAAATCACGAAAGGCTTTTTTTTTTAATGTCTTCTGGAAGTGCAAATGCATGCTATGGTAACAGTAGTAGTCTTAGAAAGTTGCAGTGACTGAAAATTTCATCACCCTGCTACATAAGCTGTAATAAGTCCCTAGGAATTTAACTGAGTGCCCACTAGAAGTCTTTCTAGTTTGGTAAGATCTGCCAGAGATTGTGTTCCACTGGCATAACCTTGAAGAAACCAAAGTTATTTGCACACCATCATGTAAGTAGGACTTAAATGTAGTATAGTAACCCTATCCCCCTTCCCACCCACCCCCAAGAAAAAAGAAAGGTTAGTTTGATATCTTCTTCAAGAAGGCACATTTACTCTTAGTGATTAGTGTTTTCCTTCCTAAATGCTAACAAGTCGTTCATTTAATAATAAATTATATAATTTTGCTAAGACCCGATGTCAAGATTGCTGCTAACTTACTGAGAACACAGCCTCTCCCCTCATCTCTGGGATATTTGCCTGTCTCTAAGCCTGTGGCACATCTCTCATTATCCACAAATTTTCAAAGGTCACTGACTGACTCAGCAATGATAGCTGCCAGTTCTTTCAGAATTCTGATGCATGGCTCATCTAGCCAGTATCATTTCACAAAAACATAAAGCAGTAGAGAGGAAAATAAGAATGAAGAAAATGAAAGATCCCACTCAGGCAGATCACCAAATGATCATTTGTAGAGAAAACTGGAAGGACAACAAACAGAAGCAAAAATGAAGAATTATTCGCCAGCATCTCTATAGTGTGTTCTCACTTGTATACTCAGACCACAGAACCCACTCTACAGTAAGTGCAAGTGGAAATGATGTTTAATACCATGATTAAGTATTTGCAGAGAAATCCGAACTTGAGGAGACAACTTTGCAAAGTTTTGAGTGACCAATTTTCAAGTTATTTTAAAAAGATGACAGTGAATTATTTGTCATACACATAGATACACACACACACACACACACACAAACACACACACACACACACACACACACACACATGCAGTATTATAACTAAAAAAATAGGAGGGGGTGACCAAGAAGACATATGTAACTACTGACCTATGTATATCAGTCCTCATCTTTTAAAAATCTTTATGAGAATGATTTATTTACCTATAGAGGTGAATATATCAAAAGGGGATAGTCAGGTTTAAGTAAGTGACTTTCTATACTGGTCCATATGATCACAGTCACAACAATTTTGGCTATTTCTTTATAAAGAAGTTTTTAATGATTTAAGCTTCCTAACAATGGAGTTGCCCCATGATTAGTGAGCTCCTTTTCATTGGAATTATTGAAGCAGAGACTAGATTAGATGATCATATTATGTGTTATAGTGGAAAGAGCTCTAGGATTGGGATCAGAAAACCTAGCTTCAAAATTGGGATTCTGCTTTTCTTCAG